ACTGTATTTGTATTTGTATTTATTTGTATTTTTTGTAAGTGAGACTCACTTAACAATGCTCTTGCTTAGCAACCAAAATGTTGGCTCAGAAACTCTGAGCACGCAAGTCTTAAAGCTGTCAAGTTACAAGACCCTTGCACCCCTAACCCTTTAGAAAAAAAAACCCAGGGGTGTTCAAACTTGATAGCTTTAAGACTTGTGGACTTCAAATCCCAGAATTCCTCCTCTCGTTCTTCATCTTGATGCTGTGAGGATGGGTGGTGGGAGGGAGCTGGAACCAGTTCTAAATGGCACTGTAGATTTGTGGAACCGAGGTTAGAACTGGCAGGAACCCACCCCTGCATTTCACCTACTATTATATGGATGCATTTAAGGGAGTGGATAATCCTCTTGTCAAATCTATTGTTTATTTGTTTCTCTCTCTGAGCCTGTTTTATGAATTAGTCCTCTGAAGAGTTTTAAATAAATAGAGAAAACTGCCTCAAATTTCTCAGCTAGATCAGATTCCTGAGGCTGGAAGTAAAGAAGAAATTCTGTGGAGTTTTTTCTTCTTTGTAATATGGCTAGTATAGAAATACATTTACAAAGACGTTTACAGTGTGATTGAAAAAATCTGAGCGGGCCCTTTTTCAGCAAACATTAACTCCCTTTCATTTGAAAATCTGGAACAAAAAATGGAATAACAGTCATGGTAAATGGTGGATGATAAAACTTAACATTTGATATTTTCCCGTTACAACCAGAAGAATTTCCAAGTGCTTAATAATGGCTAGAACCATGTCCTGAATTTCAGTCTCAATCTAAATCTCTCTCTCCTCACCCCTATGGATGGTATCAGTGGTGGGATTTAAATTTTTTTACTACTGGTTCTGTGGGTGTAGCTTGGTGGGTGTAGCATGGGTTGGCTGGCATGGGTTGGTGGGCATGGCAAGGGAAGGATACTGTAAAATCTCTATTCCCTCCCCACTCCAGGGGAAAGTTACTGCAAAATTCCCATGCCCTCCCGATCAGCTGGGACTCGGGAGGCAGAGAATAGATGGGGCAGGGGCAGTCAGAGGTGGTATTTACTGGTTTAGTTCGATAAATACAATCAGAGGTTGAATTTACTGAACTACTCAACATTTCCGCTACCGGTTCTCCAGAACTGGTCAGAACCTGCTGAACACCACCTCCAGATGGTATGTCTCTTTCTGAATCTCAGTCTTCACTCCTACCATTATTTACATGGTTTCCTCATTGATTATAGTACTAAAATTTTCTTTAGCCATAGTGGTTTCTAAATGGGTTATGGAATATGTGTGATTATTGCTACCATGCTGTCCTAGTCAATTTCAGAGTTCTTTCTGCCCACCCATCTGTTTGTGTATTAATCATACATGTGTCACATGTTTTGAGAGGGTTACAAAATAAAATAGATTGGCTGCATGTAAAGGGATCAGGGTAAACTTGGAATGGAATGGAATGGAATTTATTATTTATATGCCGCCCTTCTCCGGGAGGACTCAGGGCGGCGAACAATCCAAAAAGGGAAAGGGGAACATCAAAAACGAAATACAAATAATAAAAATAAGCAACAGTCGCGCAACCATACATGTCGAGAGGGGAGGGAACTCATCACCCCCAGGCCTGCCGGCAAAGCCAGGTTTTGACGGCTTTTCGGAAGGCCTGGAGAGAGGTGAGGGTCCGAATCCCTGTGGGGAGTTCATTCCAAAGGGCCGGAGCTGCTACAGAGAAGGCCCTCCCCCGGGTAGTAGCCAGATGGCATTGGCTAGTAGATGGCACCCGGAGGAGGCCGACCCTGTGAGATCTAATGGGTCTGTGGGAGGTAATTGGCAGCAGGCGGTCTCTCAAGTACCCAGATCAGAACTTCTCTTTGTTTGGCATCTAATACAGAGGGTGGGAGTTTTTGGGAAGGTGAGAATGGCAATTCTGAAGCCCTTTAGTTGGAAAATTCCACAAAGCCTTGATATTTTGGCTTTCTCTGTTCTCTTACTATGAGTTCAGAGGTGGACACGCTTTCTGCCATCTTTCCCCATCCTCTGCTTTCTCACACGTAGAAGCAAGGGTATAGAAACCCAAGCTCATTTGCATCCTGGGAAACCACCAGTCCATGTGTTGGCTTGAGCAACCGAAGGCAGGGGGAGGAGAAAGGAGTTCATAATTGGAAAGAGATGGATGATTAGAGACATTAAGGGAAGACTGTGGTTCCCATGGGGCACCCTCTCCAATGCTGCCCACATTCTAGTTCTTTTCAAGGGAGAGTGCCCCCCATTATTTCCTCTTGGTTTCCCAGAGACCTTTATTTATTTCTTTGCCTCCTTGCGTCTCCTTCCTTCCTTCCCACCCTCCCTCTTGTTTTATTTTACTTTGCCTCCCTGCTGTTTTGCTTGATGGAAATCTCACTGATGCGTTTCCCTATTGGACTTGCCTTGGGTTGGTTGGCGCTCCCTCTCCCTCTACCAGGCCCCTTTCCTTTTTCTTTTCTCGCTTGTCCCTTCCTAAGAGAGCCAGCTCCCTGCTGTGGCAGAAGGACAGTAGCGTTTGCTTTCCCAGTGCCAACCTTTCCCACATCTGTGCGGCTATTGTTCTGCGCCGGAGGGGGATCTGGAATCATTAGCTGGCAGCAAACAGTAACTCTGAGGGACAGAAAGTTAGAAGGTGGTGGGGGGACTTTATTTGGAGGCTCACAGTGTTGAATAAGTCTCATAGTTCACGATTAACCTCTCCCTTCTTTACTTTCTTTTTGGCTCCACTCTTATTTTCTCTTACTCTTTAAATTAAAAGAATAGGCCCCTTGGTTTCGCCTGTTCAGTCTTTAGTACCTTCAGGAGTTTATAAAGAATATAATAATGTTTATTTATTTACTGTTGTTCTTGTTATAATTTGCTGCTTCCTTATTACCAAACTCAGGGATCTATAAAGACATAAAAAATTTTTTTTTTGCTATTGTTGATCGACTTTGACCAGGATTGACTCTTAACCAAACACATAGATATATTTTCTCCACTGCTATTCTAGCAGGAATCGAATCTACCAGGTCTCAGGCAATCGATTGCCCTTTAACCTGTTCTCCAACTGGACCAAGAACTGCATCATGCAAAGCACTATCCCACCCAGAGGTGGGTTCTTACTGGTTCGGCCCAGTTCGGCCAAACCAATAGTGGTTTGCCGGCATGGGTCATCGTAACCCAGACCTGCCACACCTCCGAACTGGTTTCTCCGGTCAGCACGGCATGGTTTTTTTCCCCCATTTTAAAATGTTTTTTTTTTCATTTTTTAATGTTCTGTGCATGCACAGACCTATTTAGGGGCCACTGCGCCCACACCCCGGGGCATGCGCATGAGGTGCGCATGCAAAATTGAATGCACACTCAACCGGCAGTATTGCCAGCAGCAACCAACCCCTGATCCCACCCATAAGTTATCTCCTCCCTACAGTTACTTCTCATATCACATTCTTTCTACAATCATATGTTGTTACCTTTGTTCTCTGTTAATAGTCTACAGCAAAGATCCCCCACACCTGTATGAAGTTTCAGATGGTTTATCAACCCCCCCAAGATTTATTATATGAAAATAATTTAATAAATATTACTTTAATAATAATAGTGTTGCCGCTACTTCTACTAATAATAACAATAACAACGATGGATACTCCCATTAACCCTTGGAGGGTTGAGGTTGACCATTTTTGGGGACCTTGGGCCAAAGCAAGATTGAGACACAACTTTTATTGGGTAAGGAAGAGAATGAATGAATTCTTCCTTTCGTCTCTGAAGTTCTAGAGTTTAGTCCAGGGTGATGGAGTTGCTGTGTTTTTGCTTTGTTGCTATGAACACTATAGCTGATTGTGAGTGAATATCCTATTTCATTGTATCAGCATCTCACCATAATTCTGTTGCCTCCCATAATTCAATTCAATCTCAAGAGGGCTCTTCAAGATAGGGAAGTATGGGTAGCAAACAGTGAGTACAGAACTTGTAGAGAAAAACATTAAATATGTTGTTTCCCGCTGGCAGCCAGCAGAACTGGGAGCAGAGGCGGACAGTGAGGAGGTTGGGGAGGAACATGGGCCAGTCCTGGAGGCTGAGGGAAGCTCAGACGAGGGCTCTGCGTCAGAGACAGAGAGGGAGCTAGACAGCAGTGAGGCAGAGGAATAGCTGGAGCCTCTCCCCAGTGTGTGCATGCGCAGAGTTGCCAGAAGAGAAGAACAACTAAGAAAGCAGGGTCAACTTGGGAGTAAAGCCACCTGTTCCCGTAGGAAACAAAAGAGGAGCAAACAGGAAGTGGGCTTTTGCAAGAAACAATTAGTTCCTTCAGTCATTTCAAGAGAGGAAAGTTCTGTTTGTGATTATAAGAGACTCAGTGCCAAGTGTTGCCTTGCCCTGATTTTGGAAACTAGTTATCTGGCCGCTTGCCAAGAGAGATAAGTTTTGTGTTGATAAATATTCCTCTGAAAGACTGCCAAGCCTTGCTGACTGTGAATGAAAGGAATTCACAGTCGGATAAATAAAAGAGGTTTTTCCTGGACCCAGACTCTGCTTCATGCTTGTTAAGGAAGCCTGGGTCAGAACAAACTAGTCCATCCTCAGCCATCTCCAGTAATAACAGAGACTCAAAAAATGTTCCTGAAAGAAGCGTTAAAGTATTATGAGGATGAGTTAAATACAAAAAACCCCAAAAGCGTCTTTCACACAGGAAGAAAATTTCTGGGGGAGTGGGATGAAGAGCAGATTTCAACATCCAGTAGGAAACAAGAACATCATCTGTTTTACTTTCTTTTGTAGGTCCTTCTGAGTTACTGGATATGACAGATAGCGAAACGTAAGTCTTGCTCACTCAGCCATTCTTCTCATATTCTCATTCCAGCTTACTTTTCATTGCATAGAAAAATCAAAGCAATGTCATGTAAGATTAAGCCTAAAATAACAATTCAGTGTGTTGATTTACGAAACTTTAGCCTGTCCATTCCCATTTAAAGACAAGATCGTATTCCTTTTGAAACTCATGAAGTTCTGAAATCCATAGTTGTCTTCTGTATCCCCTCCCCACCACCACAGCAAGTATTACAGTCCTGTCTACCAAATCCAAAATGATTACTTTGAGAACATTATTAGATACATGATTCACTACAGATTAGAGTTTTTGTTTTGATTTCTTCCCCTCAATCTAAAAGAGAAAGGGACTTTCAGTTCTAGCCCACATAACCGGTAATGACAGAAGCCAAATTCAGATCAATACTGGGTCAAATCTATGTTCTATTCTTTTATGCAAAAAGATCAGCTTCCTCCTATTCCCACATAGGGACTAAAAAAACCATTTTGTAGAAATTCTTAAGGAGAAGTAAGGACATTGGCTTAAATTGAGAAAAAAGATCGGCATTTAAATTTCAGTTTAATTTTTTTTCAAGTTTGCATACTCCTTTGTAAGAGCCAGTTTGGTCCCTTCCATTCAACTTATTGTGCCTCAGAATCAGGGGTGAAATGCTACTGGTTCGGATCGCTTCGTCTGAACCGGTAGTAAAAAATTGCTACCGGTTCAAGCGAACCGGTATTTCTGATGATCAGCTGTGACACGCGATTCATATTCGCTAGAAAGCAGGATTTCCTGCTTTCTAGCTAATCTAAATCGCGTGGCACAGCGGATTCCCCTCCCCCTTGCTGTTCTACTTACCTTTGCAGACGCGCTTGGTAGCAAGCTCCACCCACCCGCCCGGACGTCATCACGTCCATTTTTTATATTCTGCGCATGCGCAGAAGGACCTGTGCATGTGCGGAAGTGGTGCATGTGAGCGAAGCGTGCACACATTTTTACATTTGTGAACCGGTAGCGAAGGTAAGTAGATTTCACCCCTGCTCAGAATGATCATTTGACTCTGCCCTATTGATCAGTTATGGTGCAATATGGTGCTATCAAGTGATTGTTGCCCAGAAGAAGCTGAGGGGGAAAAGGCTTATAGGTTACTGTGAAGCAATATATGAGCTGGGGCTACTGTTAAGTAAAAAGCCAAAAAAAGATCTATACAATGTTTTATCAATACCTCTAAGCTATCACATTGCACTAATATTTCCTAATTTCAAATTGGGCAAATCGATAGAAAAGGAACAGATTGACATAATGCTAGTCTAAAAGCATCTGAAAGGAATAACCAGATTGGTGAAAATTTAACCGTGCTGCAAGAAAAAGGAAAAAAAATCTTTAAGATCCCTAGAGATCTAGCTGTTGTTGGGATCTAGTTAATCTATACCCACATCTCTTAGCTTCTGGATAGAATTAATTTCTTTCTTTTGTTCCTTGTCTAGTTACTACAATAAGAACATAAAGATCCACCATTAGGCAGCCTGTGAGAATCACAGCTTGTATTTGCGATCTCTGCTAAATCCTTTGGTTTTAAGCCCAAGCCAAAAGAGAGAAGGGGGGGGGGAGAGGAATGAAATTTCTTCCTATTTGTTTAAATGTTAACACCCAGCTTTTATAGTGGATATATCTTCAGAGATGACATACTATTCAGTTCCAAAATCTGGGGAATTATACAACATAAATATTGATGTCTGCTTTAAAGTTTTTAAAGCACACACATGTAAGCATACTCCACTGTTTGAAGCCAAAGAATTTTATTGTTCAGATTCTGGGAATGAAAGAGAAGGAAATTTACTCTTCAAGGGAATTCATCCAAATGGGCAGGGGTGTTGGGGGGGAGGCATCATGTAAGTGATTTAAAATTGGACCTCAGTGTGGGTAACAACTTAATATTCAGCATGTTGCTTTAAGCATGGCAATAAAACAAAGCAAAACTAAAATGAAAGCTTTGAGCACTCTTAAGACCATATTCTGCTGTACCAAAGATCTAGAGGACAAATTAAGAAAATGTGCTTGTGTCAGCAACCCTCAAAATTATGTCCTGTTGAATGTAATGCATTATATTGATAGAGGTTTTTTTTCCCCCCATTAAACACTCAGGGGTGAGACAGCTTTGCACAAGGCAGCTTGCCAACGCCACCGTGGCATCTGCCAGCTGCTGGTAGAGGCAGGGGCATCATTGAGGAAAATGGACTCCAAGGTAACCAAACCAAACCAAACAAATCCATTTTAACAGTTCTGTGTGCAAGTGAAAATCAATGTGTAGCCAACTCAGGCGATGCCTTTGCAAATACGCGGAGAGCCTCTGAGCTTGCTTGTTTTTCAGCACACTTTCACCAGGTTCACCTGAACAGAGGCTCTGCTGGTTTTATTTACCTATCGTTTGTCACTTGCTATCAGCAATTTCAGGTTGGCTTTTGACAGTAGACAAAACCATGGAATCTACAAGAATATAAGCAGGGGTGGGTTGCTCCCGGCATTACGGATGCTTTGGTGCGCGCAAAAACCAGTCCGAACCGGTAGGAACCCACCTCTGAATATAAGTAATGTATAAAACCACAGTGTATGAGCAAAATAGCCAGCTGGTAAATCAGCACTTTAAAAGGGTTATATGATCTTGAAATGCCACTTAAGAATTGAAATGATGGGATTTCATGTAGTGCCTATACCGGTGAAAATGTTTTTAATTTTAACTTGGAGACCACTGCATAGCTTTTGGCAACTCATCAGCTTAAGACTCCCAAGAAAATATTGTTAGGTTGCAGGATTCAAAGATTCGTTGGCTTAAGTGTTGACTTAAAACAGGACTTCACGCTTAGAATCCCCCAAAGCAAAGCTCATTGGAGCTTTCTATATGGTGGCCCATCAAAACAAGTCAACAGAATTGTCAGAGGAACCATGCTAAATGTGTTTTCAATATTCACTTTAAAGAATGAACTCATATTCAGTCAAATAAAGGACTAAGGCATGAGGGTCAAACTCACCACGTCACGTTGTGGTCATGTGATGTTGTGCAATGTCTCCCCATTCGTGGAGCTGGGGTGGGCGTGGCCTTTGTGTGATGCATCTGGCCCAAGGGCCGCCAGTTTGACACCCCTGGTCGAAGGGAATGAATCTGTATGCTCAACGTGCTGTACGTGTTCCCCCTTTCTATTGCAGAGGGTTTTATTCTCTCTCTCTTTTTCTGCGTTACCATTATAGGGTAAGACACCTCGAGACAGGGCCCAGCAGGCTGGGGATCCAGATTTAGCCTCCTACTTGGAGAGTCATCAGAACCATCCAGTAGTGCCCCACGAGGATCTAGAGACTGCCGTGTGATCTCTGTGGGTGTGCAAGAGAAAACTCTAGGAAATGACAAAGCTGCACCTGAGGTACTCTTGAGGTGTCATGTGAGGAAGAAGCAAATGGAACCACCAGTCTCTTGCTCTCCTGCAAACTCTGAGAAGAAGCCACCTGTTTCTAAGGGCTACGGAGACTTGCCACGGAACTGTTCCCACATGTCAGCTTGTAGGGATAAAGGAGGAGACTCAAAGGCCTGGAGAATCCATAGGCCAAGGAAATGTATTCTCACTGCTCCCCCTAAGTAGCATGAACATCTCCCATGTTCCTCTTGTAGAATCTGTTTGAATAAACAACAGCAACACAAAATGTGGGGGAAGAAACCAAAACAACACACACATTCATAATCCAGGCAACCATTGATCTTCTTCTAACGCTTGCCATGAAAATCTTGTGTTTCCCACTCTCCATTTCTCTCACTTTCATGCTTCATATTCTTGTTTCTGATGCTGTGTTGCACACCAATAAACCAGCATCTGTGTCTTTGTGCTAATTTTTCACCATTCTTGATTAAATCAACTCTGTCAAAGGGGATCATATAATTCATATAATGAATTCACGCTTCATAGTCTCTCTAAGTTTGACATTGTTACATCATTGCTTCTTCTGAACCCTCCCTGTTTTCTTTGGATATATATCAAGTCTGCGACAGAAAGAATCATGCAGAAGAACAGTGATTTTATTATTTATTTATACATAGAAAGGTGAGAATACAGGGCACATAGAAACAGGTCAGATTTATCAAAGTGATAAATACTCTTAGAATATACAAGGGTTTTACTCAAATTCTAGAGTGACTGCATACCTAGATTCATGTGAGACCTTACGTTTGGTGGTAATTTACGAGTGTCCCAAATTCACAGAATAAAATGTGGACCTCATAGATTACTTTAGTGATCAATCTAATCTAGTGAGATATCTTGGTTCTTTTTTTAATGACTTACTGATCACAATTGATTACAGTAGACTAGCTATTTTGGATCTAGTATTGACAAACTTTGGTACAAAAATGATTCAAGATGCCAGAACATGATCATGGGAAATATATCCATAACATTTTCTGCTTGTGTAGCTTTTCACATTGGCTAAAAGGTGGATTTGGCTAAATGTCCTTCAAGTTAAGTTTGACATAAAACTCAATGAACAGATGCTTTTAATTTTCTTGGCAACAGTAAGCAAAATAGTTTATCACTGTCATCCTTCTGGAATATTTTTTTTTTCAAATTCTCTGTCTAAACTATAGCCAGGTGCTCTCTGCAACTGCCGGGTTCAAGTTTTGAATAAGGCTTGGCCCAGTACCATTTCCAAGTTCAGAGAGATTAACCAGGTGCTGTCACATATTGAGACTTATCTTGGGTAAAAGATACTAAGCAGAATCTATGAGTTGACAGAAAGTCAACATACATCAAATGATACACTCTAAGCTTCTCTAACATAGCCTTCCCCATGTATCTTAATATTCGGTGAGGTTGACCTTCGTAAGTCAAGGACTTCTTGTAATAATGGTAACATTGGAAAAACAGGTTTGGTAAATTTCTGCTGTCTGTTAGAATAGCTGTTATAGACTCTAGACATGCATTGATTGCATCTTGCCATTTCTGTGATCTAGTTCCGGGGGTGGGCTGCTGGGGATTTGCAAAGGTTCAGGAGAACCTCTAGCTAAGATTCTGTGCAGTTCAGAGAACCCCAAATCCCACTCCTGGCTGGCCCTGCCTGCCCCTCCTCTCCCAGGAGTCCCCACGCGGCCGGTTTTGGATGCAGGTAAGTGCAGGGTGTGCACGGAGGCTCAGAGGGAGAAAAACGGGCCTTCTGGAATGGGCCCATTTTTGGCCTCCAGAGGGCCTCCGGAGCCTGGGGAGGGCAAAAACACCCCCTCATGGTTCAGGAGGCTGATTAGGCCACGCCCACCCAGCAACCAGGAAGAAAACCTCTTGCTAAAATTTTTGAAGCCCACCCTTGTCTAGTTCCCCATCACAGTCTTACCTTTCTTCCAGTTAACCTAAGTCAGCACACCTGAACTGATTTTCCATAGGTGTGTGCGAAATACAAACACAATAGTTTGTCAGGGAAGTTTGTTTAATAGACAAGACTTGCATCTGTTCCATTCATTACAAGATAGTGTATCCCTTTGTTTCATGGAGGTGTTTTGAAAGGATAATTCTCAATTCATTATTAAAAATGGTTCATTTGAACCGTCCAAAAGCCAAATATTTCTCAATCAAATGCATTAAAAATACAATCTGAGGGGGAAAAAAACAAGTAAACAAATAAAATAATAAAATGAAGTACAAAATAAAAGCATGGAATCATTTAGGTAGCAAAATGGTGGTCGTTCAAAAATGTAAACAATATAAGCTAAAGTAAAATTAAATGGCAATTTAAAAAGCCTGGGAAAAATCATGCAGATGAAGCAGCTCTTCAAAAAATATCTTCATAGTTCTTATTTATTAATAAAAATTCATGTACTCACCCAACTTCAACAGCGAAATTCTGGGTGAGTGATGTACAAAAATATGACAATTAACAATAACAGTAATAATCTCTAATGCCAACATGGCTTAGTGATTTTATTTATTTGACTAATGTTACTGGCCATTTCACATGTGAGTCTAGGCCTACAATAAAATGGATAACAATAAATACAATATGTACCAGGGGTGGGTTTCTCGCCCCGTTCCAACCGGTTCGCGCAGTGCACGCATGCGTACTAGCGCCTGTGCGATACTCCAGCTGCTCCTGGAGGATCGCGCAGGCGCTGTATGCGTCCTGCGCATGCGTGGAAGCGCAGAACTCGTCAAAACCGGGTAAGAAACGTGGGCGGGCGGGTGGACCCTTCGGCGTTCCCGGAAGTTACTTACTTCTGGGTTCGCCGACCAACTGGTTCGCGGGGACCGCCGCGAACCGCCTGAAACCCACCCCTGATATGTACCATTAAATAAAATATGTAATATGAGTATTTCTCCATATTATTCATCAGACAAGTCCAGGACGTAGGTGATTAAGCAGTGAACAGTGGAGCTCCATATCTGGATGTGGTTAATGTTCTCATTTCAAGTTAGATACACGCTTAGACTTCTCCAAATATTTGGAGGGCTACTCAAAGGACTATCAATAAATACAATGAACGTGTGGCTGCTTCAAACCCTTTCCTTTTTTTGAGAGTGCCCATCAAAGAACAACTATTTTTGCAGGACTGCCAACTAATCAAAATGGCTGTATGTGTACTCTCACAAATGGAGCATTCTGGGAAAGCCAGAGATATGCACATACCTACTATAGGGGGAGAGGGGGAAGCATCCAGAATTAGTCTTAGATCCCTTACATACCTTTATTTTACTTTTCGGATGGAGAGATGTGACTTGAAAGTATGCACCATATCCATCCCTCGGTATACAGTTTGTCTCCTGCAATGCTCATTCACTTCTTAATACTGTTTTTAATGGCTCCTGTCCTTTACTGGAACACTAGAAGCTTTTGCTGTGCTTTTTTGTACAACTTCACTAAGCAGACTATGGGCCAATTCCAAATAACTATTGCTAATAAATAGCTATTGGCATTGCATGCACTGTGGTCACTTGGGCGGTAAATCTGCCTCCCAGTACAACCTTTTCTTATTAACGGCCAACTTCACAAACAACACAAATATCCAGAAAGTGGCAATTGTATGTAGGAATTGGCATGCAAGACTTGTGTAGCTCAACGAGTGGAAGGGAGCCTACCCAGGGATGATTTGTTGTTCATTTTATGGAGATAAGCCAGAAAACAAAGCCATGAACGATTATAGCTTTCCAGTGTTATTGCCAATATAATATTGTTCCACACAGAAATAGATATGTCTATAGACATAACTACAGATTTTTATAATGAAAGTCAATGATTATATAGATTCATGTGTCATGCTCATTTATACATGATGATATCATTTTTTTCTTTTTTTATTAATATATGTGATGCTATTAAAGAACCATAGGACTAAGTGTAAACTGACCACGTGGAGGGTTTTTAGTATCTGATGGATAGTTTTGGCATGTTTTATAGTTTACAGAGTGACTGAAAGGAGATGTTACAGGAGGTGTATCTCCTTTCCTAGTAATACTTAATTAACTAAAATTTGTGATGTAACATCACCTTGCACATCTTCTTGTTTGTTTTCAACAAAATTAGTGTCATTTGCAAAGTCATGGAAGTTCACAATAAGACTGTGTAATACAAAGCACTTTAAGATACTTAAAATGGGAGACACAGAATAAGAAACTTAGCTATTTGCTTAGTCATGTAGTTCCCATAACACCTTTTTGTAGCTAACTAATGATGATGTCCACAAAATCCATTGAATATATAACCAGAAAACTATGTGAATTCTTGGGGGTCTCTCTCTCTCTTCCTCCCCCTCTCCCTCCCTCCCTCCCTCCCTCTCTCTCTCTCTCTCTCTCTCCAGTTTGCTGATGGCAAATGGATCATAGGACAGCCTTGATGGCAGGCCCCTATTAATTTTCCCAAATGAGACTAAACTGCATACAATGAAACATAGCTAAAATCTTTGTAAGCTTGGGAAAGTCTTGTCATGTGACGCCATTTCTGGCTTAGTGACCTTGTGTGGGGCAGGAAACCCACCCAAAATAAATATGAGCAATTTGAATTCAGTTCAGTAATATATTTGCTTTTATTTGTTTTTATAAGATTGGTGCATCTGAGTAAAAATGCACATAGAAGAGGAACGTATTTCCCAGAAAAAAATGTCAGATCTAGATTTAGCTGGGCCTCATTAGGACCTGACGATGTGAAACACGGCTAATCCTAGATCGCGTTTGTTGCATTTTGGTTCCATTGTAACTCTTGAAATGACTGTCCCAGTCTGTATTATCATTGGGACAACAATATTTCATGTTATCAATAATCACAATAAAAGTGATTCTTTTTTGGAAAAAAAAAACTTTCTTTGTTGTTGCATATTTATGTTCTAAAACACGTCTCAAATTAATGTGCAAAACTAGCAAATACCTGAAGATGCCAAAGTATCCGAAAATGCTCATCATTTTTGGTTACATTAAAATTTCACATTTTATGCATTATTACTGGCCTTTGAAGGTCTTGCACAACCATATGGTCCTTCTCACCAGATTGTTGCCTTTCCATAGGAAGCCAAGAGAAATGGATTCCAGACAGAAAGCAATCATGATTGTATACGAAGGGTTGATTCTCATTCCAACATGATTCATGCCTTGCCAAAAATGAGAGGGTCGAAGAAATTAATGCTTATCTGGTAGTGGTGATTCCTCCATCTGGTAGTGGTGCTGTCTGCAGGGGTGGGAGAAGTGAAAATAAAAGACAAAATGGTGTTCTCCTCTAGGCAATCAATTGCCCCTTTTAAATCTCCAGCCCGATTGCCATATTCATGAACTGAGCAACAGCTGTAGTCTAAAAGGTCCCTGGTTCAAATCCTAATCAGCCATGTTGTCATCCTCATACAAAATGAATACATTGAATCCAGAGGTGGTGTTCAGCAGGTTCTGACCAGTTCTGGAGAACCAGTAGCGGAAATTTTGAGTAGTTTGGAGAACTGGTAAATACTACCTCTGACTGGCCTATCTATTTTCTGCCTCCTGAGTCCCAGCTGATCAGGAGGGAATGGGGATTTTGCAATAACCTTCCCCTGGAGTGGGGAGGGAATGGAGATTTTACAGTATCCTTTTCTTGCCACACCCATCAAGCCATTCCCACAGAACCAGTAGTAACAATTTTTGAATCCCACCAGTGATTGAATCCTCTCTCTAACTCAGAGGTGTCAAACTTGTTTTCATTGAGGGCTGCATCAGGGTCATGTTTGACCTCAGGGGGCTGGGTGGGCATAGCCAGGGTGGGCATGGCCAGCTCTACGTCACTTGTGTCGGGGTGCCGGTGGTGGCCCAAGCACTCAGCCAGAGAAAACAGGCTCCTGATTGTGACGGCCTCCTGCAACCCTCTGCCAGTGAAAACGGAGCTCAGGAGAACAAA